TTTTTGTCAGGCAAAAGGGTAATCTGATCAAGTCTGTGGTGCATAAAAGTGAAAGAAGAGCTTCAGTTCTTGGGTTTGCCCACCTCCTGGCACAGGGAAATGAGAAATATAATCCAGAAAGGCTGGGTGATTCTCTCTTTTTCCTTGATGACATTCTTATTCCATGGTGTCAGTTTAAATGGTACAGTTGGCCCTCTGTATCCACAGACTTTTTATCCATGGATTTAAGTATCCATGGCTTGAAAATATTTTTTTAAAAATATAAACTTCCAAAAGCCATTTTATATAAGAGACACCATTTTACTATTGTATATAACATGAGCATCCATGGATTCTGGTACTAAACCCAAACCAAACCCCAGCAGATACCAAGGGCCCACTGTAATTAGATATATAAATCTTCACTTTGTTCCCACATGAAGAACAGTCCTTCTGTGCCAAAAGCAATATTTTGCATGGTAGAAAGTGACCAAGATCCAACATCAAGTTCCCCACAACAATGCAGTTCTTTATCCTACAGTCCCCATCAAGCCCTAGGAGAGACCACTGTTGCTGCTTACAGTGGAAAGAAAGTGAAGGGGAAGCAATTCCGAGTAGGAAAAAGTGGCTGGTCTCAGCTGGGGAAGAAGAAATGAGGATGTGCCCATGCACCCTCCTTTTCCTTCCCCTAGGAGCCCAAAAAATCCACATCTTCATCTTCTGAATCGTCTTCCCTCTCCTGGGGATTGAAGGGTTTGAACAAGGTGCAAAGAACTACAATATTGTTCCCTGTGACACATCCAAAAAGAAAATACACACATGTAAGCTTCTGTGGCCCCATCCTGGTCCGAGGCAGGACTGAGTGTGGCCTGCTGGGTTTGCTCTGTCTCCAGAACAAATGCTTCTGTGAGACTAGAGTACTGCTTCCAAAACAAACTTTAATGGTGAACCCTCAAACATCCAAACACAACACTGGGTCCCATCCTTGGAACCTAACTTGAGTATACCTTCCTGGACCCAGAGCTTAACTCACCTGACCCTTTTCTTCACTCATTTCTCCACCCATTGGTGTTGCTCCCTATGCCTGCCTTCTCAGTCAGTTTTCAGTTGGCCTTTTCCAGGTGGTGAGACTCCAGCCCATGTTCCAACAGCTTCTCTGGCATCCCACCAATCGCTTTCACAGCTGTCTGACCTGGGGGAATACCTTTAACTCCTGGCGTCCATGCAGAGTTCGATTTCCTTCTCCAGGGAACATCTGCCCCGTTAGCCCTCAGGCTCCTTTGGATATGTCTCTGGTGCAGCTGAGGCTGTTGGCTCTTAGAGGAGACCTCAACCGGGGCATGGGCAGCCATCAAGCCTCAGTGTTCCTGCTGATTTCTCCTTGGCCTCTCTCTTTTCCTGGCCACCATGTGCCTCCACCCTGCCATCCCTTCCATATCCACCTTGCCCTGCTCTTAACACCAATCCTCCCCTGAAGCCATTCCCCCACCTGAAATCCTCTCTTATCTCTCTTAGCCCCCTCCCCCTTCTCCAGAGCTTGGGTCAGTTATCCCTCCATCTCGCTACCCTAGTGGGTAACCCTTTGCTCAGGGTTTACTTTGCCCTCCACTTGTGAGTCTCCCCGAGAGTCCGTGGGACATCCTGACACCCAATAGAGTCTGTCACAGCCTCATTTGCACCAAATGTGCCATGAAAAAGATGTCACTCAGTGTATTCTGCACTTTTGTGCACACACACACACACAAAATGCCCAGAAAAATGTGTTTTCTGTGTGGACAAACCACACGTATTTTTATCCAAACTAATTTTCCTCAACCAAATCCTAAAGTCTCATACCTTATCCTTGGTGGGTGCCTCTCAAGTATCGAAAGACATACTTTTTTCATTCACAAGATTAATATTAACTATTATTCTTCACATCCCCAACATTATTGTTCTTTGCAAGATTATTTGCATTCTAATTAACAGCTTAAGGTGCGTTTCCGCAAGCTGAAGATCTTTGGTTAAAATTCAGATGGATTTTAAAGGTTAAACCTAAACAGGTAGAAATAAGCTGTATATAGGATTGCAGCCTATAAACTTAATTGTGAGATTTTCTGAGTGGTTTTAGCGATCTCGATCCTGGTATTTTATGGTATTTTAAACCAGATGTTTAGCTCTTTTTAATATAAATAATAGAAAAGCAAGCTCTCAATCTTTCTTTCTTTCTTAGGGGCTAAACGCTGGCATTGGAGCAGAGTGGAGGCATGGCAACTGCATGCCGCATGCCCAAACACTGCCTTGATGCCAGCATCATGGCACCACCTACCCAATCAGTGGGCAGCATC